TTTTGCGGACATGTGCCCCCCCCCCCTGCCTCTATCCTCTGCATGAAATAAAACTGCTGACGCTGTGGGCCAGTCTCGGATTAGCACATCTGTGTGCTAATTAGATGCTTATTTTTGAGAAAAGGCAAAGAGGAAGCCTAAAGTGAAACTGTAGATTTGCCGGTTTTATAAGCAATGTAGAGTGAGCACCACAGCCAGCACTGCAGCACTGGGCTGGGAGAAGGAATTCCAGTTTTTCTGTCTTCTGGCTTTTTATTTGCATAAATACTGATTTTTACATCGGTTGTTGACATTATTTTGCTGTTGGACAATTAAGCCAGTCAGTGTGTGCTAATTCACAGTGAATCGTGTATATTCAAGTAAATGAGGAATAAGATACAAGCTATTAAAGGAAAAATTTTCTCATAAAAGTTCCTCGATGGCTTAGGAATCTGCTGTATATTTAAAAAAAAATACAGTTTTTCTGCAACTGATCAATGAAGTAAGTCAGTTTTTCTAACAGAGCTGTTTCTCTGCTTTGATAAATTGCAAAATAGCAAAAGATCTCATTTGTGTAAAGTAAAACTAAAAAGTTTGAGCAGTGTTCTGTTGGCAACATCTTAGTAGATCAACTAAAAAAATACTGTAAGTGCACTTGGAATCATGTGAAAGAGATTTTACTGTGCACATCACTTCATTTTTGCAAATATTTTGCTCAGTAATTAATGAATGGCTTTCTAATTTATTATGTTCCCTAAAGAACCTTCTTACTTTATGATTGCATCAATTTTTAAGTATTGTTTCCATGCAAGTTTCAAAACGAGACTTCCATCTGTAGACAGAAAGCTTCCACTGTGGCAGTAAAACTGTCATTAAATATGGATGAAGTTTGAGCCCTTAGCTGTAGTACCTTACGCTGTGAAAAACAGGAAAGTGAGCAAAATTTTAGTATACGTAAGCATTAGTCTGCAAAACTGTATTATTCCAGATCACATACATTATCCAGGATGTTTAGACAGCCTTTGTGTTCACCCTGTGCTGTATCCTTTCTCCTCCTGCCAGTCGTTACTTTACTGGGAGGTTTTTTTACAGCTTCCTGGATTTTATATAAGGCCTTTTATGAATCATACAAACATTACATAGTCATTTAGCTTAGCCTTGATATCATAGCATCAGCACTGCCATCCTTGAGGGAAGAGAGAGAATTAAAACGCTTACCCCTGTGGTCTGTGTTCCCAAGAATTAACAAGAAGAGAAGCCCTTTCAAAATCAACTTCATCTATACCCTTGTTTTAAATTGAGTGTTCTGAAATTGCCTTTGCCTGACACCATAAAACTGAACTCTGTCATGCTTTCTCACGTAAAAATTAGGATGTTGAAAAAGTCTGATGTTTTCCTTTGTACTAAGGCAACGCTCCTTGCAGAGGGACATTGAATTTGCGACTTAGAAATACTGTGGTGAGTTGACCCTGGCTGGCCGCCAGGTGCCCACCAAGCACGTACACATGTTCAGCTTCTGGAGTGTAACAGAATAATTCTGGCAACTTTCCTATCTGCAACAGAAGCAGACTCGTGTTCTGAGACAAGGTCCAGTTTCCATGGTTTCATTTACAGAGGATGGTTTAAATTATCGATAGTGGGCACTGATAAGGAATATTTTTCAGCACATGTGTTAGGATCTCAGATTTCACTTCAGCAAACACAAATAAGCTGCCTTTTTAAATGCACCTATGCGCTGTTATGTCTGTGGAAAGAAGTAACTGTTCTTGAGAAGTGTTAAAGGCATTAACATCCTTGTCTGCTTGTTCCACAGCCTAAAGCCCACCAGTTTGTAGTGAAATCATTTAATACACCAACAAAATGCAATCAATGCACATCTCTGATGGTCGGTTTAATACGACAGGGCTGTACTTGTGAAGGTAAGTGCTCGTGAAAGCAGGAAGTGTGAACTGAAGTTGTTTGGATGCAAATTGCACAGTAATGTTGTAGAGTAGTAATGCAAGTCTTCTGTTTATGTTTTGAATAACAGAATCTATTCTCATGCTGCAGTCTTTAAACAGTAGAATCCAAACACTTTGAACATCGTTCGTAACAGATGACCTAGTTATCTGGTGATGTACTTATTCCATTTGGTGGAAGAAGAGCTTAGTTCGGTTTAAGTGGTCAAGTATGCTGACAGCAGCTTTGCTTTCTGACTTAGGGCAAGATGTAAGATGGCTTTGCCATTCAGTACTGATATTGCTTCTTTCCAGGACAAATTTATTCTAGGTTTATAGGTACACAGGATGACACTCATTATTTAGAGGAGCTTCCAGCTTTTTATTTACTAATGGACTTGGGCCTAGAGAAAATCCCAGAGATTATCTCAGTATAAGCTTCTGATTAGGCGCTTTCTTACCTGGATGAAACCAGATGGTGTATCCATACACCTCTGAAAATGTGAGAATTTAGAACAGATAAAAGCATGAACTGGTGCTGTGTGCAGGCTTCCATTTCTGTCTCGGTGTAGCAAAGTTCAGTGAAACTATTCAGTTGTTGATCAAAACCAGAGAGGATTCCTTTATAGATGTCATTGTCATTATCATAGCTTTTGCGTTGCACAAGAAATAACCATCAAATGTTTTTGTTTCTTCTCCTCCTCACAAGTGTGTGGATTCTCTTGCCATGTGACCTGTGCAGACAAGGCTCCTGCAGTATGTCCGATCCCTCCTGAACAGACTAAGGGACCCTTGGGAATAGATCCACAGAAAGGCATAGGAACAGCTTATGAAGGACATGTCCGAGTAAGTATCAGGTAGCTGCATTTGGGGCACTTATATTAAATTTACTGTTTTCCAGAGCTGGAATTAAACTCTAATTGGGGCATTGGGGGGGATGGATTCAATTATGCCTTAAGGTAAGAGTTTGGAGACTAAGACTTACATTTTCACAAAGCAGCTCCTAGCATTTTCAACAGTAATTGTCTCTCCCTCTCTGTCAGCCATTGTGCTTTGAGTTGGTCTTGAATAGTCCATCTCTAGAGATCAGATCATCTTCCAGGGCCTGTGAGTTTTTCCAGTCTTTCTGTGCTGGTACTGTCTAGGGTCACTGGTGTGAATACTTATACGTAAATACTAAAAAAAATTACTCAACATATTTTTGGCCATATTCATGTGGACCACCTAGAGGTGGGTTTCTTTCTCTGTATTTGATAATATAGCTTTAAATGAGTTTCTGAAATAAGAAGAAAGAATCTGTGGTCTATGAATTTTTTTAATAATATATTGTGGTGTCTGTGTGGCTGTTTGATGCTCTTACTGCACCTGTGCTATTGCTTGTGTTGCTTAATGTTATCACTGAATAAAAGCTTGTCAGCCTAGATGAGAAAATTTATTTTTGTACTGCCTGTTTGATTTTTTTGATTGCACGCAAACTTACAGAGAGTTGATCAGAATTTATTTTGCTAAAGGTACCAAAACCAGCTGGAGTAAAGAAAGGTTGGCAGAGAGCACTGGCAGTGATCTGCGATTTTAAACTCTTCCTATATGATGTAGCAGAAGGAAAAGCATCCCAGCCCAGCGTGATAGTGAGTCAGGTCATAGACATGAGGTAAGCTGTTTGGTGCCAAGTGGGAGCTTTTCAGAGGCAGTGGGAGGGTTTTTTCTGCTTTTTCTTTTTGTGAAATCAGTAAGCAAGCTCCAGACCTTTTATGAAACACTGTAATCCATGTCGAGAGTCTCTAATTTTCAGGAAAAAAACCAGTATTTGCGGTTAGACTGAACTACACTTTTGCAGTGAGTCTGAACTGTGTGTTCATATTTGGCAATTTAAACTTCCATTATTACATCATGTGCCAAAATGCACCTCTTCAGCTGTGGAGAAGATGTGGAATGAGTAAAGAAGAAAAATACATTCTTTTGGGGTTGAATAGAGTTTTGAAAGACAGATAAAACTTTGTTATAGCATAAAACAAATACAGTTTTTGATTCAGAAGGGCTAAATAGTTTGTTCCCGCTGCCTTCAATATTACTGAAATACTACCAACTTCACTGAAGGTTGACAACATTTAACATGCCAACCAAGTAAATCTCATCTCTGAACTAGGTTAGTTTATCCAGGAAGTCTGAAACAGCTGTAGCTTATAGCTTCTAGTGAGTTTGGACTTTTATGAAAGAATTGCAGAGGTGTTCTTGGTCCAGGCTTAATTTTTGAGTTGCTTATTTCATTTTTTTTTTAAAAAAGGTTTTAATTTAAACAGACAAAAAAACAGATATTCAGAACAGATTTATCTCCATCAACATTTACCAGGAATTAATTATGTAGTGTTGCATTTGTGAGTTTCATCTGCAGATAGAAGAGGAAAGGATGATTTTAAAAATTAGATCTTAGTACTGTATTGTTGTGTCCTTCACAGAACAAGGCTGTTAGTACTGTGGAAATGTAAGTAAAAAACAAACGTACAGATTTTACTTTTTAACTCTTTTCCAATTATGTTTGTGTTCTCCATAAGGGATGAAGAATTCTCAGTGAGTTCTGTCTTGGCCTCAGATGTCATCCATGCAAATCGAAAGGATATCCCTTGTATCTTTAGGGTAAGTAATGTCTTAGTTAACCAGAAGTAGAAGGTTTCAGAGTGTGATGTGCGGTGTGCATTCACCGACAGCCTGCTATTATTCTATTTCCTTTGCAAGTTCTGGCTGTGTGGTATCCATGGCAGCGGCAGCAATGCATAAGGATCTGTACATATATCATTTTTGTGGTAAAAATAGCACTGGTACATTTAGACAAGCTCTCATCTCCCCTTTATGTGTGTTTTATTTTTTTAACCTTCACAATAAGACGTACTTTTCTCAACCTCCTGTTAGTCATTTGGAATTCGTCTGTTCTTCATAACCTTCTACATTTTCATTTCCTAAAGTTGCCTTCCGCTTCTCAATTTAATTTGTTGTGTTATTCCTGAAGCCTTTATTTTATGTATTTTCTTTATATATATGCATTGGATCTCTGAAAACTCCCATTCGTCAAGTACTCAGTATAGAAATCTAGTGTCAAATTGTCACCAAACTGTATGTCTAGTATCTGATTTCAGGACTTTGCCATTATTGGCTTTTTCTAATATTCTTATTTTTACTAGATATTCTATTGGAGCTTTGACCTCAGCGAAATGTCTTTTGGTGTCTTATTAATTCCTGTATAATTTCTTTACTGTACCATTGTATTTCACTCCTTGTTTTTCTGGCTTTCAGACTATTTATAACTCTGCATGCTGAAAGGAGATAAACCTGTAAAAGGGGCTTTCATTTTTAGCTATGGTAGCTGTACCAAATACATGATAAGGATCATAGATTATTCTTCCATAAATTAAAGAATCATAGAACACCTATTGTGTTAAATTATTAACAAAAACTATTGGTCTTAAAAAAATACAGGGTACTTTATAATAAAAGCTTTTCATTATAAAATTGCTGTGAGAGACAATTGAATACCTTATTTAAGGTAGACATTTCCAAATTACAGAATAAATACAAATGCATTTAGAATAAATCCAAGATTTTCTCTGTTCTTTGGGTTATTCACATCTACAGGTTTTTCTGCTGTGGGTTCTCGATTGAGATAGTGTTTTCTATTAACTAAGGTTAAATTTTTGCATTCTTAGTTCAGACAGCTGATTAAAAAGGGCACTTATAAGCTTCCGATACCCCTGTAAAAATGATCATGATGAAATTTTTTATCACTTATGACTTAAAATATGTATTTTAAAATTTTCCAGGTTACAGCTTCCCAGCTCTCTGCATCCAGTAATAAGTGTTCAATCCTGATTCTAGCAGATGGTGAGAATGAAAAAAGCAAGTGGGTAGGAGTGCTGAATGAATTGCATAGAATCTTGAAGAAGAATAAACTCAAAGACCGCTCAGTCTATGTTCCCAAAGAAGCTTATGACAGCACCTTACCCCTCATCAAAACAACACAGTCAGCAGCCATCATAGGTATGAAATTAATGAGAAGAAAGCTCTAAGAAAAATGGGTATGCTAAAAGCATACCTTTTTTTTTCTTTCTTTTTTTTTTCTTTTTTTCCTTTTTTTTTTTTCCAAAATATGTGTTAAATGATGTTATCTACTGAATAGACAGTAATATGTAGCGGTTTTATCCCATACAGAAATGTGCCTGGGTTTGAGAGAAGTGCAATTCATTACCCAGTACTTCTGACAGATCTTTAAGAATATTCCCCCTCTTCACACATATTCATAATTATTAATAATTGGACATTACACTTTTGTTATTCTGTAAACATAATTCTTAACTGGGCAAAATTAGCACTATAGAATAGATGTAAATCACTGCCTACAGAATCTGCTTGTGGGACCAGAGAGAAGACATAAAAGCAGAGAATGAATTTAGTAATTTTAAATGCCACTGCGTAAAATATGTTAAACTGATTATTTAAATATGATGATATAGTTATTTCAAAGTCAGTAGTACACTTAAGCACTCTGAATGGCTTGTTAAAAATCATGTTTCTTGCTGTTACTTCTACTAAAAGGAGAAACAGGAAAAGACTCATATTTTCAGAAATTTGAAAGATTGGGAGGTTACCAATGTTTTTGTGCTACATGAATGTGTTGGGTTTGTCTTTGTTTATTTCATGGTATTAAAAAACTGTCTCTGTTAATCAGAATTATCACTATTGTTGACAAAGTATTTCCAAAGAAAAGTAACATTATTTTTTTTCTTTATATCATAGACCATGAAAGAATAGCTCTGGGGAATGAAGAAGGGTTATTTGTTGTGCATGTCACCAAAGATGGTAAGAGATTAGGAACTGGTAGTTATTTCCCCAATATTAAATAATCAGAAAGTGACTTTGTAACCTTTTTTCTCTTTCAATATCCTCTGGTTATATTTTTCTGGATTTACTACGTTATCAGCTGGACAACCCCATGTGAGAGCTGATAATCAAGGAGGTGTTCTGTGTGCTTTCTGTTTTGGGTATCCTTTCCAGTAACAAAGATCCAGCATCTGGAATGCAGTTGAAGGTTTTCTTCTCTTGTTTGAAGCAGGCTCAATACTGAATCCACACCAGGTTGCTCAGGACTTTGTCCAGTCACATATTGAAAATCCCCAAGGACGGAGGTTCCACAATCTCTCTGGGTTGCCTGTTGCAAATTATTCTCACAATGAAACATTTTCTTTGTATATCCAGTAGGAACCTCCCTCACTGTTGTCTCCTCTTCTCTTGCTGTGCACCTCAGTAAGGAGCCTGGTTGATTCTTTCTGTAACCTCCTCCTTTGTATTGGAAGTGAAAACTTATGCTCAGTATTGTAAAGAGATGTAGTGACAGATGCCCAAACTAATTCAACAAGCAACATGTTTAATTGTATCTTTCAGTTCTCTGAGGGTTTTCCTTTATTCATAGTTTTGTGGCTATCAACTGTTTTTGAAATGAATACTGAAATAATACAGTGATGGTTATTGCATCGGATCTGTTCCTCCCTTTTTCCGATGAGAAAAAAACGAAAGTCTAACCAGCATTGCCACATCTGGTATTATTAAAATGCAAGTTTTGATTCTCTAGTTTTTAATGTTGCAGGGAAGCAATAAAGAGGATTTCTTGGGTTTCCTTCATAGTTTATCTTTACAAATACATATGTTATAATCAAGTCACACTTCAACATTATTTACTTTGGATTTGGGGTTTTTGTTTTGTTTTGTTTTTAGAGATTATCCGTGTTGGTGACAATAAGAAGGTTCATCAGATCGAGCTTATCCCAAATGAACAGCTCATCGCAGTAATCTCAGGACGAAACCGTCATGTGCGGCTTTTCCCTATGGCTGCCCTGGATGGAAGGGAGACTGAGTTTTATAAGCTGGCAGAGACAAAAGGCTGTCAGTCAATAGTTTCTGGACATGTGCGCCATGGAGCTCTTACCTGCCTGTGTGTAGCTATGAAAAGGCAGGTCCTCTGTTATGAACTAAATCAGAGTAAGACACGTCACAAAAAGATCAAGGAGATCCAAGTCCAGGGGAATGTCCAGTGGATGTCAATCTTCAGTGACCGTCTTTGTGTGGGCTACCAGTCAGGTTTCTTAAAATATCCCCTTCATGGTGAAGGCAGCCCATACAGTCTGCTCCATCCAGATGACCACACGCTATCATTTATCTCACAGCAGCCAACTGATGCCATCTGTGCAGTCGAAATCTCAAATAAAGAATACCTGCTGTGTTTTAGCAGCGTAGGGGTTTACGTTGACTGCCAGGGCCGAAGATCGAGACAACAAGAATTGATGTGGCCTGCAACTCCATCTTCTTGCTGTAAGTTGCCATGTGTGTCAGTGTAGTTGCTGTTATCCATTGAAGTGATCACTGCTTGTATTAATATCCACAGGAAATGAGGTTCAAAGATAATTACCTGCCAGGTAAATAAATGCTCTCGGCTTCTGTCATCACTTTTAATCTAGTCAGAGGGCTTAATCCTGATCTCATTTATGCTAGTTTTGACAACTCTGTCACTGACCTATACTGCTGTAACACAAAGAGGAATCAAGATTCAGGTTTTCTAACTCTATCCAATTTCTAAACACATGACCTGATCTCTAAAACAACTGAAAGCCTCACGTCCCACAGAGGCTAATGGGATCTTTATGCATTTGCTACCATTGATACTGCTCTGTTGTTATTTAAAGTCTTAAAATTTGATTGTACTTTGGCTCAGCACTTTGATTCAAGCTTTCTTGATGTTCAGTCTCAGTCAGGATCTGGTAGTTTGACTTGCTTTTCTCCAATGTTTATTCCTGCTTACTGGTTGGGTTTTTTCCCTTTTCTTTCCTTACTCCTTCATTCTGTCTTCCTCTGCAGTTTTTGTTGATACTCTTCTCATTCATGTCCTCTGTTTGCTTTTTAAATAAACAGGTTTTAATTTTTCCCCCTCAGTCTCCCTCTTCCCTTCCAAAATACAATGTATGGCAGGCAGTATAGAAAATGTATTTCATAACCTTAAGGGAAAAATACTGTAATTTTTCAATATTTCCATTTCCAGCAAGAACTGTTACATATTTATTGCACATTTTTTCAAAGCTGGGGCTTTATCTTTGTGACAGCTGGAGGAAAAAAAAAAGCCTGCAGTGCGTGTCATCTTCTTTTTAATGTCTTTCTGAATGCAGATAAAGATTAGCCAAATTTGTCTGCAGAGTATCTGTGAATGAGCCCAGACTTATGCTGATTTTTAAAATAGTCTGCCTTTTTACCTCATTGTGATAGCAGTACAGGCTCACTGCAGAGGAGAGGAATGTTTCACCTTGTTTGAGTGAAGCCCCTTCTGAATGTGGAAGGAGCAACTTTTACAGGTTGTATGTCACTTCTGGTTTTCAAGCAAGAATGTGATTAGTACCATGGACTCAGAGATTTTATGATAGATTGGAAAACAAGTATTTTCACATGTAGTTCATCTATACTGACCATTGCTATTTGTGAAAGTTTTTTGATTGCCTTAAATTAAGTCACTTGATGCTATTCCAAGTCAGAATGGGGGTATATTTTATAGCAAAAACTGTTAGGTTTAAAAACAAATTAGATGCTCTTGTTAGTCTTGGCAGACCATGGCAGTCTTGTTGCCAACATGGAAATAAAGAGTTCTCCTTTTGAAGTGGTCCCAGTGGAACAAATTTCATCCTGGGGAAATGTGCCAGATAAGTAGCACAAGAATTCTCTTTACAATCCAGAAAATAAAAAAAGAGAAATAAAGCTAGAAGGAAACATGAAGATTTTTATGACTCTATCACGATGCTTAGTTCCAACTGATGTTCATAGTACATAGTCCAGAGACTGAGTTTGGTTCATTCAAATGACAGTTATTAAATAACAACAATATATTTTCCTACCACATCATTTACAAAATACTCTTAAAAACAGGGATTTTAGAAGAAAAAAACCCAAACTTTGAACCACATCAGTTTGGCAAAGTAAACTGTAATCCTTTGTTGAAAAAGTAGTTTGGTTCTGCAAAGTTAAAAGTCATGGAGGTTTTAAGTTTTTTGGTGTTGCTGCTGTGCCTTCAGAATAAATTTCTTGGTAATTTTTGAGTTAAAACGCACTTTGCAAAGATCTCTGTTGGATTGTAGTGTGGTTTGGTGGTGTGGTTTTTTTTTAAAAAAAATACGGTTAAACAATAAGAAATTGTATATTTTGAGCCCTTATAAAAGCACATGACGCTATACCTAATCATTCCCTCTCAGGTTACAATGCACCATACCTCTCTGTGTACAGTGAAAATGCAATTGATATCTTCGACGTGAACTCCATGGAGTGGATTCAGACTATTCCTCTCAAAAAGGTAACTTGCTGTTTCAATATCAGTTAAAGAGTATTTCTAGACTTGACATTTCTTTGCTAGAGTCATACCAGCTTTATGAGCACATTAGAAGCCATCATTAAAACTGCTTGTTTAAACATAATTGAACTAAAAGAAGAGCTACTGCAAAGAAACTAGTGCTTTTTGTTCAAAATATAAAATGTGTTTTGCATGTGGTTTCACTGTTTTAGGTGAATTGTCAATCTGGAGCATATGAATATAGTTAGACTTACTGATATTATTGTAGAAAGCAGTTTCTTGGTATTAATTGCATAAGGCTTTGTTGGGACTGATTGCAGCTGTGTTATTGCCAGAAGATGGTGGATATTAAGATAATTAAACAAGACTTCTAAAATCTGCCTTCTGCTGCTTGAGAACATTGTAGACAGATAGTGTTAGAACATTTTGTTTCAACCAGTACAAATATTAAAAGCAGGATGATGTCAGGTTTGGATCGCTTATCAAAAGGAAGAAGGTTTTGAAAACTGACGCTTCCTTGGTATTTAGGAGGTATTTGCTCAGCTGTATTTGGAAAGAAACAAGAAAAGTGGGGGTTTTTCCTATAGTTTAGACTGACTTCAACTTTGTATTAGTGTCAACATCATTCCTTTACTGGCATTCCAGTGGCACAGAACTACAAGAAAATGCCATTGTGGTCTTGTGTTCGTCATTCAGTCTCTCTGTGTATCCATTTCCCACATGTCAGATGCAGACCAGGGTATTACGGCAATGCTGTCAGGATAAATAATGCAATGAGCAAGGTGCTCAGCTATTAACCATCCTAAGAATCTGGTCTTTTAGAGTAGATTTTCTCTACAATTTCTGATGTCCAAACTTAGAGTTATTAAGGAGTTGAAGCATTTTTTTTTTTCTACAAAGCAGAATGTGATTTAGTACTTTGATTAATATTTGGCTCAAGACTGCCTATTTAATAAATGAAGCTACTTCCAACAAACAAGAATTGCTCCACCTAGGAGACTCAAAAATGGCAATTTATTATGAAGAGTTTGTTTGTAACGCAATTTGCAGACTTGGAGAGTGGAATGGTTTTTCATTTTGATGTTGGAAATCACAAATACCAGTAGCTTTTAGCAACCCGTATATACTCTTACCGAGTAACTGTGACATGATACTAACACAAAATAAAGGCATAGCTTTTTGCTTTGTGCATCTGATAGACAGAGTGGAATTGTTATATGACGTTCTAACAGAACTACTTATTTAAATGCTGGGAGGAATGGTATTAAGCCTGTATCTTTAAGTGGAATTTTAGGCAACTTTCTTTGTACTCGTTCTCTGAACAGAAGTTTAAAATCTAAAATTGTTTTTAGCTCTGCCTCGTGGCTTTAATGACTCACAATTGTTATTTTTGAGAGTAGGCATGTGTTACTGGAGAGCAGGCTTTGCTCTGGCCAATTATGCTGTTCTGCTCCCTGGTTGGCTTTATAACAGTGCTCCTTTTATAGAGTTTATAATGTACCTTACAGCTTTCAGAATATGATGCACTATAAAAATGTGAGTTATTACTATTACGGGGACTGATTTTCCTTGTTTCAGGTACGACCCTTGAATACAGAAGGATCACTAAATCTTTTAGGCTTGGAGACAGTTAGATTAATATATTTCAAAAACAAAATGGCAGGTAAGTAAACAAAAGCCAATTTTTGTCATGCAAATTTTTGTTTAGAAAGAACATTTTTCTTTGGCCTGGATCTGCGCATTGTAGAGAGTGATCTCAAATTTATGTGTGCTTGTTAATTTGGGAGAAAGCCAAAGCTTATAGATTCCACAGTGCTTGCAATGATGCTAGGCAGCTACTCTGAACTTTTTTCTCTTTTGAATATTCAGTGAAGACTTGAATGAAGACTTGGAAACAGAAAACAAAATGACTAGATGCTCCCTCCAAATCTCGGATCACCTGCCAGAACACTATCTAAAAATGCCTGCACAATTAAAAATTTAATAGTGATCTTGGCAGTACTAGATTAAAATTAATGTTATACTTAACCTAAACAAACCTTTCCCAAGGATCAGAAAGTAATATAGTATTGTATATTCGTAACTTGTTATTAGGGCCACATACAATTGTGTGCCAGTTTTAGCTTCAAAATTCTATTTTTGTTGTCAGTCTTTCTGATCTTTTTTCTTTTTAGAGCCTATTTCGTAAGCATGCTCCCGAGTAATTTCCTTAACCTTTTGTTTAACCTCTTAGATGGAGAGGGGGTGTGCTTTGTTTTAACAATCAAAAGTGATAATTTTTTTTAACAACCATTCTGAAAATAGTGGAAATAAACACTCTAGAAACATATACTGCTGTTAGCAGTGTTTCAGCAGTTATTTAAGTTGCTAGCAAATTAGTACGAAAGGAGTGACAGTGGTAAGAGCAGCAATGTGGTGGAAGTATGTATAAAGAATTTTCAAGTATAATAAAGTTAAAAGTAGAGCAGAAGAGACAAAAAAACAGAGGGCATCGGATCAGAAGTGAGTAAGGCTGGTGCTTTGCTCCTGTGCACTTCTCACTGTCTTTCAGAAAAGGTTACCAAACAGTGAACTATCCTCCAGGTGTATCTCTTTAAAAGTCTGTAAGTTTTTTCCTGAAGCTACTTACCTAGTAGATCCCACACTTGATGAAATCTCCAGTTGATCTTAAGGAAAGAAGAGATTTCAGTTCCATGCAAAAACTGTTTTGGCAGTGAGCAGTAGGTGTTGGATATGTTCAGGCTTATGTAGTGTAACTTTAGTCTCCATATATATAAAGTTACAGCATTCATTCAAAGTGATGCTGCTGTTGTATGGTGATCACTGCTATACACTTCATGCCTTTATTAAAGATGCCTTGGCCAGATGTACACATGTGGAAGAAAAATCTTCCCTTTTCCCACAGTTGCACCAAAATACATTAGTGTTCAAACACTTCAAAAGGAGTAGTCTTTCTGGAGCAGGGAAGGAAGGAATGAATGAATGAATGAATGAAAAAAGAATCTTGCATTTCATTTCCAGACAATTGGCAGAACAAGACCATTCTAGTGATTTTTTCAGTGAGAACTGCCAAAGGAGGTTTGAGATAGAGGACTGAGATTCTTTCCTGCCCATCCAGATGTTTTGTTTGAAGAACTGATCAGTGCTATTTTGAGAACACAGTTGTGGCAGCTTGTGTGTGAAGAAGGGTTAAGTCTGTTGTGATGTAATAGAGTAGATAGTGAACAAGAAAACCCATAAACCAAGGAGCATTTGTTCAGGTTTGAGGGGAAATGGGTGGTGACCAACACTAGCAAGAGCAGAGGGAGAAAATGCCTTTGAATTCAAATTCCATGAATACCTAAAGAATTGTCTGACTGGATCATCATATTTATATTGATTTCAGAGGGTGATGAACTGGTAGTTCCTGAGACATCAGATAACAGCCGGAAGCAAATGGTCCGAAACATCAACAACAAGCGCCGCTATTCATTCAGAGTACCAGAGGAGGAGAGGATGCAGCAGAGGAGGTCGGTATTCAACATGTACTTGTCTTCTGTACATGTCTGTAGGCCCTGAAGGACAGCGACTGATGCCGATGTAGTACTTCTGTTGCTTTCTGGAATGCCAGTTCAGATGTTTCTGTCTCCTCACTTTTGCATTAATCCTCAATGTTTAATTTGTGTTAATACCAGTCTGGATATGGATATGCACTGGATACACAAGTATTCATTAGTTCAAAACAATTATGTGAAACAGCTGTAATTTGGAATGCATGCCTCCACATGGGTACATAGGTGTGCACATATACTGTATATATAAAGATCTATAATAAACACTTTGCAAAAGGAGATTACATTGCTAACTACGCATATGGATTAATTACTTTCAGACTCTGGTTGTGCTTTTCTTTCTGAAGGCAATTCTACTCTCAGCAGTATTCCAAGGCATCTGTTTTTTTGATTTATAGATTTAACTACATAAACTTTCTATAAATCTCAGATAACTCACCTCTTCAGAGGACATAGGACTTCAGGATGTGTTTCTAATACAAGTCTTTAACAGGTCACAAATACTTTCCTAAATGGCAATAAGAATAGGTCTGCGTTACTTACAGTGTTCACAGAGGATGTTACTGACCACTTACTATCGCTCGCTAAGGATGACCTGCTACTGTGCTAAGCTACACCCCAAGAACTGATCATTTCAGTTTTCAAACTTCTGACGTCTGTTCCACCGATGGTTGGCTCCCAGCTTTCCTTTCTTTTTGGCTCTAAGGAAAGTAACAGCTGTGTACAGTGGAGATAGAATTCCAGTTCTTGTCCTTGCCTTTTCTGAGCTGCTTGCGGTTTGGTCTTTTAAAATATTATTTATTCAGAGTTCTGAAATGCATCCTTGACATTTTGAAGAGCTTTTAATACTGACCAGACTGAGAAAGGTACTGCAGTATTATTTTAATTCTATTTTCGTATTTTGTACTTCATTTTCATCTCCACATTGTAATACATCACAAATGAGTTTTGCTTTTACTCATCTTACAGAGCTTTTTATCAGCTCATAGTGGTTGTATATTCTTTGAATGTTAGTAGCTACTGGGTGTGGGCTGTTAGCCTGCAAACAACATTCTTTCTTTTCTTCTGGCCCCTTGCCCTCTCCTCAAGCTGGAAGCTTGTCCATGCCAGTGCTGATAGCAAGGGTTTATTACTGTTAACATGGTTAAATAGTTAATTTCCATTTGAAAGTAGCTGATAATCAAAGCTGTACTTGTTTTATAAATGTCCATTCTCACCTCAAACAAAATAGCTAAACAAAATGTTTTCTCTTCCAGGGAGATGTTACGTGATCCAGAAATGAGAAATAAATTAATTTCTAACCCAACTAATTTTAACCACATAGCACATATGGGTCCAGGAGATGGTATACAGATTCTCAAAGACCTTCCAATGGTAAGTACAAAAGTACATGTGAGAGTGACTGACTGACTGCAACAGAGACTGCAAATAAGTGAGAGAAAGACAAGTACAATTTTAAATGTATATTCAGAGTGTGAATGTTTTTTGTATCAGGAGGAGTGTGACTAGGGAAAAGGAGCTGAACATGCTCTGCTGTACGTGACAAAATTTAAACAGAGAGAATGACAAGCATTGAGGGGAGGAGGAGGAGTGGCTAATGCCTCCTGGGTTCTAAGGCAGGTTGGCCTCTCAGTGCTGATGGTAATTTTTATGACCCCACATGAAGGGACAAAATTAAGAGGATTTGAGACTGTGTGAATGGAAAGAGAAATTCCTTTCTCCATGAACTGTAGTTCCGTTCCATTCTTCTCTTTCCATCCTTAGCTCCATCTTAGCCTCTGTCTTTGTAGCCTCTTTTCCTCAGACAGTGGAACTGTAGCAGTTTAACAGCGTGTAGTGCCCAAATTTCTTTCCATGCCAAAGATGCTGTTTTTCATTTTCTCTCCAAATTAACTAATCTGAATGAAACAGAAGTTCTTACATAAAAACTAACCTTGTAAGTTAAAAAATGGAAAAAGAAAACATGTAATAGCACACACACACATTTGTTTCCACAAAACCTTGTGGAGGAAGTACTCACCTGGAAGTTAGTTAAATTTTTAATAAGCTAAAGACCAATTAATATTTTGTTCATAGGATGGTATCATACTTCTTGCTTCAAGGTACCTTGAGCATCTTGTTTGTGTGTCCTGCATTGTTTTCTAAACTCATCCACGATGACACAGATGTGATTCAGAAGATGCTAATTAGCGCTGTAAGAAAGATCGGTTATCGAACAGATCATATGAGTACCACCATAAGACATAGGCGTTAGTACTATGTCTAAAGTGATCATCATTATTACTTGGAGTTTGTGCAGAAAGCAGGAAGTAGATGCTGAAATTGGGTTTTTCAGATGCTGAAAAGCCCAAAGGAAACAGCAAGACTGGAAAATAAAGTGTACCATGGAGTTGCACTAGTTTAGGAGCTTAGGAGCATAACCTCTGGTCTTCAGATACTCATTTTACCTCACTTTTGCAGCATATGGTGCTTTCATGTTACACTTGACTGTAAAGTCTGCACATTGTATGTGAGCCCTTCTGGCACTGCCTTTTCCTTAGATGAGAAGATGCAAGGAAAGGAAAGGATTTCTTTAAATCTCATACTAGAGGCACTCCAAGAAACCTCTCAACAACAAATACATTCAGTCAAATTGAGCAAAAAACAACCTTATGTGTTTGTGTGTGTATATTTATAAATGAATAAGTAATGAAGGAGCTGCTTCCAGAAAGCACATGACAAATCCAAGGGAAGTTGGCAGGTAGTGTTTATCTTACCTGGGTGTGAATATACATATGTCTAATATTGAACAAAGAATGATAATTTGCTTCAGGGCAGGACGTAGCTCAGAACCTTTTTTCACTTTTCCATATTTGGTGGGTTCTTTAAAATATTTCTGGCTCTTCTCAAGCAGAGGAAATAATCTGCTGCTGCAAAAAGGTAGGGCAAAAGACGTCTTGTTTCACGCCATCAGTAGTTGAAAGTTCGTGGGAATCAAAAGCTGAAAGGATTCTTAATCAAGCCCCAGATCTGGCAAGTGTAAAATGAGGAATGATTTTGTCTGTAGAAGGGGATTTTCTAGACTCCTATAGATTAATATTTCTTCAGATATGTCGTCTCTAAATGGCTTTTAGCTTTGAATTCATTCTAATTACACAAGCCTTGCATTAGCTTAAAGACCGTATTTGAAGTTAGGACTGGTACTTTGCTTCTTACCAATCAATATAATGTTTTGAAAGAAATTAATGAGCCGCTCTCCACACTTAAAAGTGATGAGAATACATTAGAAAATGTGTACAATATAAAATTGATTTTTGTACTTGTTCCACTGCTGCAGCTTCTTTTTAAAGTTACTATTAAAAACTGATTTTTCCAAGTAGGTAATCAGTCTTAATGCTGGGAGGTGTCACTGCAGATAAAGCAAATTTTATGTGTATTTTTCCAGCAGTTCCTTGCAATATCATATTGTATTTGTATTCCTAACTTAATGGGCACAGAATTGCATCAGTCAGGGGACTTGAAAGTGTGTGAATTTGGAAGTGTAACTCGAGATAAATAGGTGCTCTGTCAAGAGCTACTTTGGTCCAGGCAGCTTTTTCTTTTCCAACAGCTTCCTGTGAGGTGTTTGGCTGGACTAAATTTTCATTTAGTCTATTCCAAACTACTTACTTTGTTTCTCAGGCACAAAAATAGAAGAAAAGGAGTTATGTGTGTGTATAATATGTATTGAGACTAATATTTTATTTGAAAGATAAATTTAGAATTAGAAGAGAGGATGGAAGTAGGGGACACTTCCTGGAGAATCAGTACACTGAGTAAAGATTACTCATCCAGCCCTGTGTACAGTTCATCTGTACGGCGGTTTCTTTACAAGGACATAGAATTATTTCACGAGATTCGTATCTTGTTCCAAAAAGGTGAATAGCTATTTTTGTTTGTGCTTCTTAGCATGTGTGATGATTTTGCAGCTGGAACATCTTCTTTGTATTTTTAAGTAGATTAGTATGTTTCAGAAGAAAAAGTATTTTTAAAGAACTAGGGGCATTTTACTTTGCAAGTGCCTGTTTCTGTTTATGAAAGCAGATGATAAAAGACATTTTTGCATTTAAAGAGGGCTACCACTAGGGGGAACAAGTAGTGCAAGGCTAACGGTTTTCTCAAATTCTTTTCATCCAACTATTTTAAGTGATATAGCTTCCCTTTTTTATGACATCCTGGAATGCAGAAAGCGTATGAAAGAATGGAGTAGGCCTTTTTATTTGCAGTTTCTTCAGACTTAGTTGAGAAATTTCAAATTTGTTTGGATCTACTGATACAAATTTGTTCATCCAGTGTGAACTTTCACTGGTCAGTACAATGCTATGTAGGCAGAAGGGTCCTTAGTAATAAATTAGGTTTTAATAGAGAATAGGTATTTTAAGCTCTGTGTTAGATGAGATTATCACAACTAAATAGCCAACTCAGCCTAGCTTTCATCTAGCATCCATGGATGAACTTTATAAAGCGAATGGCAATTTTTTATATTTATATTTATTTATTAATATAGACATATTCACTTTATGTATGCAATGTGAATCCAATCAAAACTTATCTCTGCAGTCCCAGTAATGTGCCTCTGCTGCCTTTTTCAGGGGAAGTGCCAAAAATTGAACAAAGGGCAAAATTAGTACTGGTAGCCATGACCCTTGCGTGGCTGGGCTGCACTATGTCATTGGGCAAGAGGGGACATACACTTGTGGTGCCTTAACTCATGGGGTAACTGCCTGGTGGATGCAGACCCAACAGGAGCTTGCTTGCTCTCTGCCCACTACTGTTCTTAATGATGTGTTTTAAAAGACCACCTTTAGAGAATTTCATTTGTATTGTAAATGTACAAAATGAAAATTGGATAAATGGAATGTTTTAAACCCTTTCAGGCTAGCTGATATGTTGTATCAGATGCCTGCGTATGTGCAACATATCTGCATGTGATTGCCCTTGCTGATGCAGCCACACAAAGGGGAAAGACGCTTTCTCTGTGTTGTTTCCGAGGTCTTGGTATGCAACAGGCACATGACATGAACAGTCAGATATGTTTATGGGAAATTGCAGTCTATTAGCGTAGTCCCACATGGTTCTCTCCATGAACGGACACCCTTGACTTCAATATAGCCCTGTGTTTGGGCAGAAACGAACATACCCAAGGCTTAGAGTGAGATCAGAATTGAGAGAGAAATATTAGGGGCTATCGGGCAATTGTAAATTTGCATCCTCCTTTTCTTCATGGCGAGCAGTTACTGAGGGGTCTGGCTTTGACAAGCAAGTTTGTGGGCTACGACACAACAGAAATCCAAAGTTCTTGTTTGCTGTTAACAGAGCCTTAATCTGTACATATTTGTATTTTATTGATGTGGATACTAGATCTAGATCATTGTCTTGTTTTGTACAATTTAGAATCGTTCCTGTTAGCATATCCCCAAACTTATTTATTTACATGTTTTTCTTCCCTAGCAGCCTGTCACCAATTAACTGGCCGTACAGTCTGGCCTCCCTTCTGCCCTCTTGTCCCTTGAAGCCACTTTATCGTGGATGCTCCTTTGTAGTGAAGATCTGAAATCTGGAACTGCACTTACTGCAGCACAGAGACCACCTCTCTGTGTACATCAGATGTACAGGATTGATTTTGCTTTCATATTCTGCATGCCTAAGTATTTTACATACAAAAGCTAGTCTTGACTGCCATTATATTTGAACATTATGCTTCAGTTGACCTCATTATACATGAGCCATTATACTTCCATTCTAGATGATGTGTGAAGCTTTGCTTGTTTCAAATGAGAAACTTTTAGAGTAAATGAATACTTACCCATATGTGGTATTCTTTAAAGAAAGTGGGAACCCCATGCATGCATCTAATGGTGGAGTCCATGGAGAAAGTTCCATGGAAGATCATTTTTAAAACGTTGCCATACTGTGGCTTTCTCACATTCATGAATGCTGGCTAAGTATTTTCATGGTCTGCAGCTGGCCTACCCTCTGCTTTTTAGCTTGTGATTTTAGACACTCCCTTTTCTCCTGTATTGGCTTCTAGGAATGTAGCTGGCTTTGCTACCAGTTCTCTGCTGTGAACAGATAACTCAGCAAAGTCTGCTTTCCTGGACCATTCTTGGAATGGTGGCTTCCTGTACTGACATTTAGATGCTGCTAACCTTACTAATAACAATTTAATGTATATTATATCTTATATGCCATAACATGGTAATTGATGTTTTGGTTAACACGCAAAGCCTCATAATAACTGTGTGTTTAAAAAAAAAAAAAAGGTTGGATTTTACCAGCTGAAATGAAGAGAACAGTAACAATAATGTTTGGTAATATGTATTGGGATGTGACTTAATGTTCTTCCAGACTTTAATACGTTCCACATACAAAAAGTAGTGCCTTAGGTTTAGTGGAGGGGTAAGCTGTATTTTTACCATATTTTATTTTTTTAAGTCCTAACATTTCTGATATTGCTCAGATTTGTTTGTTGTAGGGTGATTAAATGAGTTGGACAAGGGGAAGAGAAAATTAGAAGTTAGTAATTAGAAAAGGGTGTTCTGATTTGCTG